TGGACCATTGAGAATAACGTTCCATATTTTTCTATCTATGGAGTTTATGTGCACCCGTATACAATCCTTCTAATAACTGTAATTTTCACCATTAAAAATGGGAGCTCTATTATAAGCCCCTTTAGGTTCGTTTGCCATTTTCTATCAAAGTTATACTTGAAGCACGGAGTGAACCGGTGCTCCTGATAGCACTTGTTAGACGATGGCTCGGATCTAGAAGGGGGGGGGGGGGGGGGGTTGAATAGATCCCAATTAAAAATTGAGTCGGCGCTTACCAATTTAAAATTGGTTTTAAAAATATTTTTAAGTGCGGAAGCGGCCTTGGAAAAACACGTCTAAAACGAACCGTTATTAGAAGATCGGATATGCGTTAAGCTAACAAATATGATAGTAAAAGAATAGTAGATTCAATACACTAGTCACACTAATCAATTGATTTCACCACTAATTAGTAGTGCTAGTTCCAATGCTCAACACAGTCCACAAAACAGAGCAAGTAAACTAAGTAAGATTTGGTTCACACAATTTATCGAACACTTGGTGTGCGAAACACTCCAAGTGGATTTTGACTTAAGTAAGTAAATCTAAAATCCTTGTACAAGTGTTTATTGTACTAAAGTTTAAAAAGTACCAGTTACTTACTAAATTCAATGCTCGAATCAATAAAATTTCTTAAACTAAAATCACTTAATTTTTAAGCTGAAAAAAAATACTGAAAAATAAAGGAGACAAAGATTTGTTGAGGCGGTTCCCCCGCCGTCCTCGCTTCGGGGTACGTCTGCCCTCAATTCTAAAAATAGAATTGAGATGATTTATAATAGATATCACCTGTAGAGTTGTAGTAGTTTATACAAGAGTTGATAAGAAATAATACAAACAATCCCTATAGATGTTGATAATGCTATCACTTCTTGTTCCTTAATTCGAGTTGAATCAAGACCTTCGATCGTTGTGAATTGACCTCCGATTCCAGCCCCTTTGTTGAATAAATTTCAGTTCTTCAAACCCTTGGCCCGGATGATATTAGACACCAACAAATCGAACCCGGAACTCCCTTCAACACTTCACAGCCCCAACTACTAGATTGATGAAATATTCCGTTTCTCAATCACCTTCGCACCGCTGAATGTCGGTAGAGACGATCCGTACCAAAAACCCCCAAATTCGTAGAATCATGGAGGGCAAAACCTTCAAGGTTTTATTCAAGAAAAACCTACCATAATTCTCCACCCGAACCGGATTTCCAATCAACGGATTCAAACCTTATCACCTTGAACGATACACAAAGCACTCCAAGAATGGTTGTGTGTAATTGCAGTGTTGTGTGTTGTTTGAGGATGAAGATGAAGAGAAATATAGGCACATATTTCACTTTTCTTGTTTTGACAATTTACTCAGAATTCAATTGTTAATGTGTTAAAATGAACAACCTTCTATTTATAGTAATAAGCCAATCAACCAACACAACAGAATTTCAAACACAGTGGAAATACTTCATTAACTGTACCAACGCGCGAACGGTCGACCATAGCAGGTCTATGCGTCGACTCATATCCTGCAGATTTTGGAAATCTGAAAAACCCAACAGTATGCGTCGACCATAGGTCGGCGTGCGCTGACCCGTGGGAAATGTGAAGTCTTCATGCGTCGACTGATGGTCGACTCAAGGTTGCCATGCGCTGACCCGTGGGAAAGTGAACTATGTTATGCGCTGGCTGGTGGTCGACTCAAGGTTGCCATGTGCTGACCCGTGGGAAAGTGAACTATGTTATGCGCTGACTGGTGGTCGACTCATAGCTTCAAAATCTGCAAAAAGGATATATTTGTTGTTTCGTGCGTTTTGTCACGACTGAATATTAATCACGTGTATTGTCGATGATAATATGACGAGTTAAAGAGATATAGGAAGAATATGATATGTTAAGTATTACAATTTTCTTCTGGGTAGAACTGACAGCTCCGATTGGTCCAAAGTTGTACTTTGTCATCATCGAAACTTGAGAACATATGTTGTGTGACAGTTTTCGCTCACACAAAAATGACCTATAATGCATATCAAACATGTTCAACATCAATGTACATCAAAATTTGTCATGGTATCAAAAGTAGCTAGTTTAAGAGCTTACCTCTTGTAGCCTTTTCAAGAGAATGCACAAAATAAGAAGTCCAGTTGAGATCTTATGATCCAAACAGCTTCAAAATGCCTCAAGTGAGATGTTCAAGTGATCCAAAACTCCTCCAAACAACTGCCTTTGACAGAATGGCACTTTATGCAAGAATGAACCAAAAAATCCAAAGTGGAATGTGGGGGAAATGATGTTACAGAAGCGTGGTGATGACTTGGATAACTCAAAAAAGTTAGATGCAAGGTGTTTGAGGTGTTGAAAAGGTTGGAAAAGTGTTGGACAGAGTTGTGGCTTTCAAAGTGCAGAAAGTCAAAGTTTTATGGTTTTGGCAGTTGACTTTTTGAGTGAGAGGTTTTCTGGTTGAAGTGAGTGTTTGAGAAGCTCCAATATACCATTTGTGATGTGTGTGAAGTATTGGTAAAGGTGTTTGATGATTGGAATGAGTTTAGGAAGGGTTTGTGCAAAGGCAGATTTTGTGCCTTAAGGTGACCAAGTTTTCAACTTGCGAGAAGGTTGGGATCAGAAGAATGGAAGAGATTTGTCTTGGTTTCTAGCTCAATCTGGTGTAGTTTGGAAGTGAGGAGGAGGCTCTATTTATAAGCAAGCTTAGAAATCAAGTGGTATGGGAAGATTGGCTCATCTTGCCAACTTTGCCCTTTTTGGAGGCAAAATGTGCAAGATCAACTTGAAATCTCTTTTTTGAGTTTTAGCCACCTCTCTATGAGTTTAATCATCACATATAGCCTGAAAATAGTGGTCTTGAAATGATAGGGAGGGAGAAGTTGATGTGGTTGTTGAGTTGTAACAAAACTTGCAAAAAGTTTCTCTTTCATGCCATTTGCATCCACTTGCATGATTAAACAATTCCATTTAATCAAATTCTGATTTTTTCTCGTGGCTATGCATTCTAATCTCCTAAATTATTTCCATAAGCATCAAAAAATGAGTTAAGCAAGGGATTAAGAGAGGTTTGGAGGGTTTATGCAAGAAAATGCCAAGGCTAAACTTGGTTTGTGACATGGAAAATGCCCAACTTGCCTTCTTCGATTCTCCCTAACCACAAAGGTTGAGAAAATGATCTTTTACTTTTTAAAAATCCCCAAACATGATCTAAAACTTTCATGTTTTATGCAAGTCCAAAATACAAAGGGAACTATGTCAAAAATCCTCTTGAAGATTGTTGCAAAAGTTGACTTACAAGCCATGAAACATGAACATTTTCCTAAGTGTTAAAATTCTTCACAACTTGATGAGCTCACAACTCAAAATCTAAGCATCTTTGGCCCTCAACCCCATAGGAAACTTTTGTAGGGATCCTCAATAGCTTTTCAACAAGCTTTTAACCACTCCATTTGGATGTGTGGTTAGGAAGTTATGGTCCTTTCAAGTTGGCTCAAAATTAGGGTTTTTTCATAATCCCTAGTTTCTTGATTTGCAAGTTATCCATCAATCCTTGATTAAATCCTCACCAAACTCACTAGTTAGGCATAAAATGATGTTGGAAGACTTGCTTCAATTTGGGGTCAAAACCCGAAAAGTCAAAAAGTAGACTTTCCAGACAGACGAACCGAACGACTGAAATCTTCAGGATCGATCCTCGGTGTTATGGGTTCTTTGAGACTTTCAAACTTCTTAAGGATACTTCAATAAGTAATATAAGTGCCATGAAACATGATTCAAGCTTTGGAAACCCCTTTAGACCAAAAGTCAAACTTTAGTTGACTTTTCCACTAGAAACCCTAATCAGGGTGCTGCACTGCAATGCTCCTGTTCTTTTGGTAGAAACCTCCAATAACACTTGTTCTTGGCAAAATGGGAGTCTCTTGATGACATGAGGACATGATTTGAAGAAGATCAATCCAAAATCTTGATTGATCAGTCCACAAGATCTTTGATTTTGATAGTGTAAAACCCCAATCCATATGCATCTTGACAAAGATCAACTTGAAAAAGGTTAATGTTAAATAACACCTGCTTGATGCACCTAGAATGATAATGGAATTTAAGGGGCAAAAATTTGGGGTATAACACACGCCATCTTTGATTTCCAGAAATGTGACTTGACCATCATCGAGGTGGCCTCCACTAGTAAAAACCAATGGAGTTGCAAGTCCTTTACCTCTGTCAGATGTGTTATTCTCTTGCGCTTTCTACTTGCTAGTATAGCCTAGACCGACACCATTTTTGTTTGTTGGTAGTTCCAACACTCTGCCCCATCCCCGAGTGTGTTCTTCTTCAATAATCGTCTTCGCATCCTTCCATGTCACGATCGAAGACGCAAGTTTCTCATGAATTATCTCAACATTAATCACCTCAAATGCTTGGAACAGAGGTTTACTGCTAAGATTTATTTTTTAAATATTTGAAATTAAATTTGAAAATCAGAAAATAAATGTCTTAAAATAATATAAGAATGAGAAATTATGGTTTGTTATTTTATATTCTCATAAAAATGTAAAATGGCATCTCAGAAAACATGAAACAAATACCAAAAAAAAATTGAAATAAAACAGAAAAGAAATTCATAAACAAATTATATTCATAAGAATAAAAAATACTCACACATCATTTTGTGAAAACGTGAAACAAATAAGAAAAAAAATGAAAATTCCAATCGTATATTGATGTTAATAATACTTTTATCTATGAAACAAATAAGAAAGAAAATTCCAATCATCTATTGATGTTAATAATATTATTATGTATGAAACAAATAGTTTTAATAGTACAAGTACATAACATTTTGGAGGTTAAGAGAAAAAAAAGACACTCATGCATCTTTCTAAAGCTTAACAGAAAGAAAAGACACTAATGCATCTTTCTATCCTGTAATTTATTCCAATTATTAAGAACTAAGATACAAATATAAGTAACTTATGCCTTCACAAACTGAACCGGGAGCTTATTATTACCCAAAGCCAATAATATATTCAGAAACTCACGGAAACTACCCAAATAACCACATTCAAACCTACAATTGTCACACACTGAGGGACAAAACTCAATATTATATATACCTTTAGATTCAGTCTTCACAATTCTAAAATAGTTATAACGATCAGTTCCTGTGATAATAAGCCTCTTTCCGGTCTTACCGTCTCTATCACCCACTTTCCATTCTGTGGATTCTACACAAGTTGAAGAACCCGAAAACTTCACCTTAAAATCCCTTTCCACCTTAACTACTTTATCTTCTTTTGCAAAAGGGGTGAAGATAACAGGTAACCCTTTTACAAGATCTGTGTTTTCTTGCCCTACATATAAAGGGCAGTAACCGTTTCTGTTTATCAAAGTGAAACGGCCTCCAAGTTCTGTTAAAGGTGTTTTTATGTAATACTCTTTGCCACTCTCAACAGGGTTACCTTTTGTGTCAAGAACTGATTCATTTTCAGATTGTGCGAAAGCTATAGTGGCCATGAAAAGCCATAACACAAGGCTAAGGCTTGTACCTTTGATCAAACTTGTTGACATGGTTGTGTGTAAAATTTGAAGGGGAATTTTGATTGTGGGTTAATGTTGTAGCAATGGATTGCTATTATTTATAGGATACGATGTATGCATATTATGTATGCATGTTAAGTTTTATGGATTAAAATCTAACACCACTTGCCACATTTTTCAACCATGTTACTTGCGCCAGCAAACTGGTTTATTGTCAAACAAAGTTTTGAAGTTATTCAAGGTCCTCCAACTAGTTAAAATAGTCAAGTATTTACTTTAACATATATATATATATATATATATATATATATATATATATATATATATATATATATATATATATATATATATATATATATATATATATATATATATATATATATATATATATATATATATATATATATATATATATGAAGACAAATGAAACTTATAAAAATGGCGGAGAGGATGTTAATCTCAGAACTTCTCTTTGTATTTCAATTGTCTTAATTTGATGTGTTTACATTCTGTTTTTATATAGAGATTACAAGATAGAGAATATTAAATGTTATGACAATTAACGCTAGTGGGTCCCTAGGAATTATTTGGCTGCCCAAAAGCATCTAGCTTTTGCGCTCTCTCATACTGATTTGAATTTAACCAACAAAACTCCCCCTTAAATTCAAATGTTCCTTCGATCCATCATACCCAACATCTTCTTTCCTCTTTCGAACAGCTCTTTCGATAGTGGTTTTGTGAGGATATCTGCTGCTTGATCTTTGCTTGCAACATGCTTCAGTTCGACGCTTCCTTCCTTCACATGTTCTCGGATGAAATGAAATCTGACATCAATATGTTTGCTTCTTTCGTGGTTCAATGGGTTCTTTGCTAGTTTGATCACTAATTTGTTGTCCACTCGAACTATTGTTGCATCTTCTTGTTTCGACTCCATTTTGCCCAACAGTCTTCTTAGCCAAATTGCATGACAGACACACCATGATGCTGCGACAAATTGCATGACAGACACACCATGATGCTGCGACATATTCTACTTCACACGTCGAAAGAGTCACAATTGGTTGCTTCCTCGAAAGCCAAGTGAAAGCAGTATTTCCCATAAAGAAAACATAGTCTGAGGTGCTCTTTCGATCATCAACGTCTCCACACCAATCACTGTCAGAATATCCAGTTAGCTTGTAGTCTTCTCCTTTCGAATAAAACATTCCAAGTGACACAGTTCCTTGGACGTATCGAAGTATTCTCTTCAAAGCTTTCCAGTGTGTATAAACTGGCTCTTCCATAAATCGACTCACTATTCCCACACTTAGTGAAAGATCAGGTCTTGTGCATGTGAGGTAACAAAGGCTTCCAACTAGGCTTCGAAATTTGTTTGCTTCGACACGCTCTCCCCCATCAAATTTCGAAAGCTTTGCTTCAGGCTCCATTGGTGTCGAAATTGGATTGCAGCTATCCATGTTGAATCTCTTTAGGATGTCTTTGGCATACTTCTCCTGAGAGACAAAGATACCATCATCTTCTTGTCGAACCTCCAGACCAAGAAAGTACTTCATCAGACCTAAGTCTGTCATCTCGAATTCATGTGTCATTGCACCTTTAAACACTTCTATCAATCAATCATTGTTGCCCAAGAAAATCAGATCATCAACATAGAGGGCAACTAACAGCATTTTCTCTTTATCTTTCTTCACATACGCAACATGTTCATAGGGACACTACTGAAAACCATTCTCCTTGAAGTATGTATCGATTCTGGTGTTCCATGCTCTCGGCGCTTGCTTCAGCCCATAAAGTGCTTTCTTCAATTTTAGCACTTTTCCTTCGCTTTCGACCTTCATGTACCCAGGTGGTTGTTCGACATATACTTCTTCGAGCACACCATTCAGAAATGCTGACTTGACATCCATCTGATATATTGGCCATTCGAATTAAGCTGCATGAGATATGAGTAATCGAATCGTTTCCATCCTCGCAACAGGCGCAAATACTTCATCATAATCGATCCCTGCTTTTTGCTTATAGCCTTTCGCTACCAGTCTTGCTTTGTATCTTTCGATTTCACCTTCAACATTCATCTTCTTCTTAAACACCCATTTTACTCCAATGGTTTGACTTCCTTTGGGTAACTCTGCCAATTCCCAAATATTGTTTCTTTCGATGGCTTTGATTTCTTCATTCATGGCTTTCTTCCAGTTCCGATCTCTCACTACTTCTTCGAAACTGACATCTTCAGTGTCTGCCAGCAAGCATACAATATGTAATTCCTCTGTGTTTTCATACAGGTCTTGTAGGCTTCGCAATCTGGGTTGAGAGGGCTCACTTTCATCATCAGAGTTTTCAGGTTCTGTCGAAGTGCTTAATGGTACAGTAGTTGGTGATTCTTCGGTTTCGACAACAACCTCTTTCGAATTGTTCCAGTCCCATCTGCTTGCTTCGTTCATATGAACATCTCTGCTTACTATCACCTTCTTGTTTATTGGGTCGAAGAGTCTATAGCCTTTTGTTTTTTTCATCATACCCGATGAGTATGTACTTCTGACTTTTGTCTTTCAGCTTCGTTCTTTTCTGATCTGGCACATGTGCATAAGCCACACTTCCAAATACTTTAAAATGAGATAATGTTGGCTTCTGTCCATTCCAAGCTTCTTGAGGTGTTAAGTCTCCTAGCTTCGAATGTGGACATCTGTTCTGAACATAAATTGCACATTGCACAGCTTCTACCCAAAATTCCTTCGTCATGTTCTTACTCTTAAGCATTGATCGAACCATGTCAAGGACCGTTCGATTCTTCCTTTCAGCTACTCCATTTTGTTGAGGTGAGTACGCTGCAGTCAGAAATCTCCTTATGCCTTGTTCTTCGCAGTACTTCATGAAGGATGTCGAAGTATACTCTCCACCCCTGTCTGATTGAAGGGCTTTGATGCTTCTGTCAGTTGCTTTCTCCACCTTCACCTTAAATTTCTTAAACGTTTTGAATGCCTCTGATTTTTCTTTCAGAAAGTACACCCAAGTCTTCCTTGAATAGTCATCAATGAAAGAAATGAAGTACTTCTTGCCACTGAAAGATTCTGGAGTGATTGGACCACATATGTCAGTGTGAATCAGTTCCAAAATGTGTTTAGCCTGATACTCTGCCTTCTTTTGAAATGATGTTCTTGTTTGTTTGCCAAACACACAGTCTTCACAGAATTTTCCATCGAACTCCACATCTGGCAGTCCATGCACAATATTCTTCTTCGCCAATCTTCTTAGCCCATCTTGATGCAAATGACCAAAACGCAAGTGCCACAGAGATGCTTGGTCTTCGACATTAACATGCAAGCATTTTTCTCGAATGTTTTTCAGATTCAGCTTGTACATTCGATTCTTTCCCATCTCGACTAACACAATTAGACGTCCTGTCTTATCTTTCAACTGTAGGTTTCAATCTTCCATGAGTATCGAATACCCCTTCTCTGTAAGTTGTCCCAAACTCATAATGTTTGCTTTGAGATTTGGTACATAGTACACCCCTTCGATTGATCCTACTACGTTATTCTTCTGCAAGAAATATATTGTTCCTTTTCCTTCGACATTTACCTTCGAGGCATCTCCAAATGAAACATGTCCATCTTCCACACTCTTCATTTCTTTGAATAAGTGTTTGTGACCACACATGTGATTGCTTGCACCTGAGTCAAGGTACCACAGTGTGTCACTCTCTGCATCTTCCTCCTTCTGAGCCATCAACAAGACTCCTTCATTCGATTCTGATTCTAAGGCAAAATTCGTTGTTTCTTCAACTCTTCTTCTCGATCGACAGTCTCTTGCAAGATGTCCCATCTTTCCACAGTTGTGGCAACTGTAGGAGTTACAGTCCTTCGCGTAATGTCCCTGTTTGTTACACTTGTAGCATTCGACATTGTTGTAATTCGACCTGCCACCTCTTTGACCTCGTCCTCTACCACGCCAGTTTTGTTGACTTGACTGTCCTCTATCGAAGTTATTGTTTTGATAGCTTCGACCATCATCCCGTCCTCCACGGCCACGTCCTCTCCCACGCCAATTTTGAGAGAAGAGTGTCTTTCCTTCTTTGTTAGGTTCTGCTTCCTCAACTGCCTCCTCCTTCTTCTTTATTTTTCGTTGCTCATGGGCTTCGAGTGACCCAGCAACTTCTTCGACAGTGATTTTCGAAAGGTCCTTCACTTCTTATATGGCACACACAATATTTTCAAATTTGTCTGTTAAAGATCTCAGTATCTTTTCTACAATTCGAGCATCTGTCATTCCTTCTCCATTTCGATTTAGCTGGTTTGCAACAATCTGCACACGCGTAATATAGTCCGACACGGACTCTGTATCCTTCATCTTCATCCTCTCCATTTCTCCTCGAAGAGTTTGCAAACAAACTTGCTTAACTCTGTCAGCTCCTTTGAACGCTCTCTCTAGCGTATCACATGCTTCTTTCGATGTCGTCGAACCAGCAATCTTTTCGAAGGCTGATTCGTCCACTGCTCTAAACAACAAGTATAATGTTGTTTTGTCTTTCGACCGCGTCTCTTTCAACGCCTTGTTCTGGGCAACTGTAAACCCAGTTTTGTTTGCTGGTTCTTCAAGCCCATCGCTTGTCACTTCCCATACATCCAATGAACCCAGAAGCGCCTTCATCTGGATGCTCCAGTTCTCATAATTGGATTTTGACAGCCATGGCAGTGGCATTTGACTCGTCAGGCTCACTATGAGCTCTGATACCAAGTTGAAGACAAATGAAACTTATAAAAATGGCAGAGAGGATGTTAATCTCAGAACTTCTCTTTGTATTTCAATTGTCTTAATTTGATGTGTTTACATTCTGTTTTTATATAGAGATTACAAGATAGAGAATATTAAATGCTATGACAATTAACGCTAGTGGGTCCCTAGGAATTATTCGGCTGCCCAAGAGCATCTGACTTTTGCGCTCCCTCATACTGATTTGAATTTAACCAAATATATATATATATATATATATATATATATATATATATATATATATATATATATATATATAT